GATTTATAGAGGTACGAACAAACCTAATCCTATGTCATCTCCTTAGGCAACCTCTTGAGAATTTCCACTAAATTAATTGGATTTTTTGGTGCTACAAAACCTTCCAGTAGTTGGACTTCTAGGTGCCAACAAGACTTGAATGGTTGAACTTGTGGGTATCAACCAAACTTGAATAGTTGGGCTTGTAAGTACCAACCAAACATTGATTGTATTTACACTTAGACATAGATACAACAAGATAATAAACAATGTAAAACACATACAATAAAAATGCCTTCCTGACAAGCTGATGAAACTAATACAAGCATACTATATAAAATGCAAGAGTTATGCAACGATGTTATAGGTTCAACTGCTTAAAGAAGTAGTTTAAGAATTCTTAATAAAAAAATGAATAAGCCAAAAGGCAAGCTTTTCTCACTTGTATAAATTGATTAAGCTAAAAAAACTAGTCTTTCCTAAAATACTCTTGCTCAAAATGTTCTTTTTTTTTCATTTTGATATTTTTCACAATTCAAGCTCATTTTTTAATAAAAAATATTGATTCATAGTGCTTGAGAGCAAGTAACATTATAGATTTCTCAGGAATGGATTAAACCAAACTTAGAAATCAAATTCCCAAAAAAATTAAATACTTATTAGAAGAAAGAGTCATTGAACCATCAAATGGTTAGATTTTTCGCCAAGTAGTCAACTATCATGAATTAGTAGTCTATTACTACACATAGTCTCTTTTCTTTAAAAGTTGACTACTTCCTCCTAAAAGTTGAGTATTAGGAGCGATAACCAAAAATTGAAAAACCAAGATATCGAACCGACAAAACCAATTTCTTTCTAATTAACCAATATAAAAAACAAATGGTTAACCAAACATTCCAGTGTGTGTGTGTGTGTGTATTATCTATATATTATAAATGAATATACATGCATTATATATAAATATATATATATATATGTATATGTATTTTCAGTATTTTTATTATATATATGATATTATAAATATAAAAAATTAAAAGCATGATGAACTAAATTGGTCAAAAACCAAACCAATTAACCGGTTAACTAATTAGCTTCAATACAATTTCAATAATGGTTTTCCAAAAATCGGTGGTGCTAGTTCAATTTGGAAAATAGGCACATAGTTCGATTAGTCGAACTATAAACATCCCTAGCCAATACTTAGTCAACTATAGTTCGATTAGTCGAACTATGCCTATGAGGCATAGTCAACTATAACTAATTGGTAGTCGATTATTGAGTAGTGTCAAAGTGACACTAGCCTTGGTTATTACAGGTAGTCAACCATATTCTCATGGATAGTCGACTATTGAGTGGCATCGATCTTTGTTGGCAAGGATAGTCAATTATAACTTTAATGGCAATTGACTATTAACAATTCTCAACCTTAGAAATTTTGAGATTATGATTCTAAAAGTTTAGAGATCATTTCCTTGCACTTTTAAACTTAGATTTTTCACTTTTTAAAAACCATGAAAAAGTTAAAAACACCTAAGAACTATACCTAATTTTAGTCATTCATCTTTAAGATTAAGTCAAATGAGTTTGGTCTATGAGAACCCATAGTATACATCCTTTTGCAAAAGATTACATCAAGTCCTAAGAAATGAGATATAATAAAACATTAGAAGTCGATAGAAGTCAATACTTATTCCTTCTATCCCTTTGAAGCATTTATCTTCTTTGAAAATTCTTAGTTAATAAACAGATGCCCAAATCCATTTGATTCTTCATAGTAGATTATTATTCATTTTAGTTCAATAAATGTTTCTTGGCACAAGTACACACTTAACATTCATTAGTACTCAAAATGAATTTGTTATCATCAAAATACATAGGGTTAATACTAATCATAGGTGAGATTATTATCACAATCATAATTGCAAAGTGATATAAACATTACAAATCCTAATCGTATAAGAGATGACCAATGTAGGTGAAATTCCATCATATTTGTAAATCACATATGCAATGGCAATCGTAATTGTAGAATGCAATTTGCAAGTACAATAACAACTGTAAAATGCAATGGCAATCGCAAATTACATATGACATGGTTTGTGAATTGTACAAATTGTGCAAAGATATGATTGAACATTTTTGGGAGGTCGAAACATAACCGTTGACATTTTAAGTTAAATCCAATGGTCATGATTTGATTAGATATAATTAAGGGACATCATTTAAAAGTTAACAATCATTAACTATGAACAATCACATAATTCAAATATGTGACTATATAGAGAACCATTTCAAATAAACTTGTTCCTTTCCATAGTGATTCTTTAAAATTTATAAAATGGGCGTAATTTAAGTCATTTTACACATAATTCACTCTGAATTGTTATTGTCCCATAAAAGGTTTTTCAAGGATTCTTCAACTTTGTTGATCATAGTTTCTCACCTAAGGCTCTGTTGTATTCTAAAAATAAATTTGCCTACAATCCCAACAATAAACTCAATTACTTAAATGGGGGCAAATAGTGCTTTAAATACAATATCTTTATATACACCTCAAATCTCTCCCTTGAGATTTTTTAAAACTACATCTCTAACAACCATATAGGTGTTTTCTCCTTTTTTCTACATTTTCTTATTTGATTGAATGTTTTTAAGTGTTTTGAAACAATTTCAAGTAAGTTCATACATCTGGATCTATAAAAAGTGTCAAAATATACACATAACTAGTACCAAATAAAATTTAAAAATGTACACAAAACTTAGGTGAACTTTGCCAAATTCCAAGGCATTGCTATTTCTTAAGAAAACAATAATGATACCAAACATGACCAATATATTATATGTATTAGATATAGGGTCAATCTCTTACATTACCCTTAAGTTTTAACAAACGAACTAAAACTTTCCCTATCGTTTGCAAAATCCCTTAAAGTTAAACATTAACAAAAAAAATATTGAAAATGTCTATTTTACCCTTCATTGCTCTTTAAAATTTTAGATACATGCCATGCATTTGATAGTGCAATAGTAGAAAAGCTAAACCAAAATCCTCAAAATTTTTTAAATGTCTATTATACCCTTCATTATTCTATATATGCCTTGCCTTTGATAATGTGATAGTAGAAAAGCTAAACCAAAATTCTCAAAATTTTTAAAATGTCTATTATGCCCTTCATTATTCTTTAAATTTTCAAGAAATCCTTGTACATAATCACCACCCACCTCTCGTCTCTGACCAATCAAATAAGTGAAAGAATAAAAAACCCTTTGTGGTTTGCTTAGTGGTTTATTCAATAGTTTCTTCATTAACCTTGTATGGCTAATGTCTATAAATGATCCATAAAAAATTACATCCCAAATCACATGTCAATTGATAACTGAGCCTTCTTTGTAAATGGAATTTTAACCGAAGGTTCAACTTAGCAAGCAAATAACTTTGCCTAACTAAAGTATTGGTCATTGAAACACTTTGAGCCACTACTTGTTTTAGGTTTTCATCATTTAGACTTTGGAGATAGAACCAAAAGTGAGAGACTATTTATTTTTTGGATTTTGATAGGGAGAAAGTTGGTCCATGGGATTATGGTTCCTATTAACCAAGTTACCCATGTTTTTTTTTTAAGATTTATGTGGGGTCCCTAGAAAATTAATTTCTTTAGGTATCACTATCTCCTATCTCCTAGGTAGGTAAGTAACATTTTCACTTGGGAGAGAAATAAAAGAACATGGGTAAATGCACTTACCCGTATAAGTATTTCCCAGGGAACACATACCTGGGTAAGTAACTTCTTGAAAAGTGGACAAAGCCTAGGTGGAAGATTAGAATTAGATGCCCATCAATGAGTATTGAGTACTAGAAAAATGTATTTGTAATTTAGATCATATCATAGTCATGTGTAAATGAACTCTAACCTCCTAAAATAGTACTTGAGTTGAAAGTAGTGGGAAAAGATTGGTCTTTAGCGCATAGTCTTTGATCTTATAACATCTCAAGCATAAAAATGCTCAGTTCAATGGATGACAATTTTCGCCATGATTGTGGTAGAGTTATCTTGATCGAACCCAAAACAAAACTCGTGAGCTTTTTCTAACCATCTTCTTCCTACATTTTTCAATTATTGTTGAATTTCCATGTTTTTGTACTGGCACCGTTATGAATTGAATGAACTATGAAGAGGGCAAAATTGGGTTTCATAAAAGTTATAACAATAACGTCTAATCACATGTGAAACGGAATATGGTAGTATATTAATGATAAGGGCAGAGTTAGTCAATTGTTAGAAAACTTAGGAATAGTTTAAGGAATTTTCTAAATAGTAGGGGTGTATAAGTCCATTTCCTAAAATTTAAGGATAGTTTAAGAGAATACTTTAAGGTATTTTGGTTCGCATATTTAATATTTTACATCCTCACTCTATCCTTGTAGAGAATCTCTGGATTTAAGTATGCTGTCAATGGATTGGGTCTGGGTTGGGATAGGGTAGAACTAGCCCCAAATTTAGACCTAGAATTGAATCGATCGATTTTGGATTCGATCTTAATAAACCTATTAAAAATATTATATCTTTAATATATATAGCTCAGGTCAGGTCTGAATCGGCTCGAAACAGGGTAGAACCGGTCCCAGTCCAACAATAATGATGACCAATAAACAATAACCAGAACCGACCCTCTCTAAACCCTAGAGCCAGAATCGATACAGTCGGTTCGGTCCTGTCGGCGTCTATCGGGTTAGACCCGACCTATTAACAGCCCTTTAGATTTGAGAACGCGTTTCACGCTCCGAGAGCGCGAGGGCCCCCACTCCCCAGTACCCACCCCAAGCTGATCTGATCTCGGAACTAATTCACATCTGCGCCCACAACGTCCCACAGCACATCTCCACCGTGCATTGGGAACATCGACATCATCGGGAGATGCTCCCAATACACGGCGGGGATGTGCTCTGGGATACTGTGGGGCGCCCACTTGTGGGGCGCAGATCTGAACTCCCATGGAACCACCTTCCATTTGGATTCCTGAAACTGTGTCTCAAATCTCACAATTCACATTTTCAGAGAAACAATGGCTTCGATGAACGGAGCAGTATCCGTCGCCGAAGAGGATCAAGAAACTGGCGTTGCCTCCGTAAAATTCGGCAGCCGCGAAGCCCTCGAGCAGGTCCGCAAGCTCACTGATGTTGGCGCCATGACCCGTCTTCTCCATGAATGCATCGCGTATCAGCGAGGCCTGGATGTCGAACTCGAGAAACTACTCACTCAACGCACGGAATTGGACAAACAGCTCCTCAATCTTCAGAAATCGGCCGAGGTTCTCGAGATTGTCAAGGCCGATTCCGACTATATGCTCTCCAACGTCCGCTCGACTTGCGACCTCGCCGACCAGGTGAGCGGAAAAGTTCGAGAGCTCGATCTCGCTCAGTCTCGTGTTCAGAAAACGTTATCACGAATAGATGCCATTGTTGAGAGGGGTAATTGTATCGAAGGGGTGAAAAGAGCCCTAGAGACTGAAGATTATGAATCGGCTGCCAAGTACGTCCAGACGTTTCTGCAGATCGATGCGAAGTACAGGGATTCGGGGTCGGATCAAAGGGAACAGTTGCTGGCGTCGAAGAAACAGCTCGAAGGAATCGTTCGGAAGAGATTATCCGCGGCGATTGATCAAAGGGACCATCCGACTATTCTGCGCTTCATCCGGCTCTTCCCCCCGCTCGGCCTTGAAGAAGAGGGATTGCAGTTTTATGTTTCTTATTTGAGAAAGGTGATTGCTATGAGATCGAGAATGGAGTTTGAGCATTTGACCGAGATCGTGGATCAGAACTTGGGTGCACAGAATCAGGTTAATTTCGTTGGCTGTTTGACAAACCTATTCAAAGACATCGTGTTGGCTGTCGAAGAAAATGATGAGATCTTGCGTAGCCTTTGCGGAGAAGATGCAATTGTTTATGCCATCTGTGAGCTTCAAGAAGAGTGTGATTCTAGAGGTTCTCTCATCTTGAAGAAGTATATGGATTACAGGAATTTGGGTAAATTGGCGTCGGATATCAACTCTTATAGCAAGAATTTGCTTTCTGTTGGATCTGCAGAAGGACCCGATCCGAGGGAGATAGAATTGTATTTGGAAGAGATATTGTCGCTGACGCAGTTGGGCGAGGATTACACTGAATTCATGGTGTCAAAGATAAGGGGATTGAGTTCTGTTGACCCGGAGTTGGGACCCCGAGCTACAAAAGCATTTAGGAGTGGAAGTTTTAACAAAGTAGTTCAGGAAATTACTGGGTTTTATGTGATTCTGGAGGAATTCTTCATGGTGGAAAACGTGAGGAAGGCTATAAAGATCGATGAGCACGTCCCAGACAGTCTTACTACTTCCATGGTGGACGATGTGTTTTATGTTTTGCAGAGTTGTTGCAGAAGGGCCATATCAACATCAAATATCAACTCGGTCCTTGCTGTTCTTAGTGGTACCATGAACTTGTTGGGCAATGAGTACCAAGATGCATTGCAACAGAAAATAAGAGAGCCGAACCTTGGCGCAAGACTGTTCTTGGGTGGTGTTGGGGCTCAGAAGACTGCAACGGAGATCACAACGGCTCTAAACAACATGGACGTGAGTGCTGAGTATGTTCTGAAATTGAGACATGAGATTGAGGAGCAATGCGTAGAGGTGAGTAACAAATTTCCTATATTTATCCATTCATTTGCCAGTTAAAGTAGTGGGACATGTTTTCCTTTTTGAATTTCATGAATAACCATAAAAAAAATAAATGGCCTTTAGTCAGATTATCCAGCTGAGAACTCCGAGCAAAGGGGTTTGGATATTCTTAGATCTAATTCTATAGGAAGGCCAATTGGTTGCTTTTACTTTTCGTTCCAAATGATGTGGGTTCTTGGTGATCTATCAGGCATCCAGTAAGATGCTTTCTGGTGCTAGTTAAGCTTAGTCTACCTTCCAAAAGCTATATGGGGTAGCTCTTGCCCATAATCTTTTTTTTTTTTTTTCTCTTTCTTTTTGTTTTTCCTCCTTAACTTCTTCAATGGTATTTACTTGGAAACCTAAACTCAACAGAAACCTTTAAGAAATGGAGGTAGATGACATTAACCAATCTAAGCGGATCCTTAACAAGGCATTACTTTGTACCTCGTGTATGACAAATTATTATGACCCTTTGTCATCTGCTGGGATCTCCTGTCTATTGCCTTAAATGAGTTCAGACTGTTCAGTATATGCAGTTTATTTCAAAACGGAAGGAAAAGTATACTTCAGGTAAGAAGGAAAGCCAAAGGTACATGTGCTTAATGTGTAAGAAGGATGTGTTTACCATGAGAAAAGGAAAAAAAAATCATTAAGGAAGAGCTCCTTAACCTAAAGCATTATGGTGAAAGTCAAACCAATGGTAGTTTATACAGTGGCAAATTGAGACTGGAGCTTGCTTCATTATTGTAGTTGCAGTAACCAGTGGATATGACTGATATACCAAAAGAGCTTGTGCTTGATGGTAGGACAGATAATGGGAGCTAGATGGGTGTATGGCCTAGGAGAATGGCCTAGGAGAATTGCAGATATAGGAGGCTTATTCGAGCCATTTAAGATGTATTATCTTAAAAGCAACTAGAAAAATTCACAAACAACAACAAATAGAAGAAGGCAATTACCTGCACTATTTGTTTGAAGAATATTGATCTATTTGATCAAAATCAAAGAAGAACAATCCTTCTACAAAAATTGGTTCTGGAGAAAAGAAGTGGCCATCTTTGTTTGCCATCAAGGTTCAAAGTATCGATAAACCTGATACTCACAAATGTATGTATTGGGTGTTTCTCTGATGACTCCTATTTTTAGCTTTTTTTTTTTCAAAATTTCACAGGGGGTTGGTCTCAGGCCAACCTACACCCATGAAAAACATTAAACCCTGAAACAACCCTTATTTAGCGTATCAGGGCGCTATTAATATGATACGATATGCCCCAATACATTGTGATTTTTTGAACCTTGTTTGCCATATATGGCTATGGTTCATGGTCTATGCTTTCTCCTACATATGTTGTGTTAAAAAAGCAATGTATGTCATTGTTGTCTATATGTTGGCTAGTAGCGGTCTTATTAGGTAATCTTCCTTGGGAGTTTTGTTACTGTCAGGGAGAGGTGGCAAAATATTTTTCTCTTTTCCTTGAGTGATTCCTTAATAAGAAAGCAGGGGCAATTTGGTAACATCTGAAGTTGCTGAACTAAATTACTTATTGCTTTGTCTTAGATAAATCAATTAAATAGTAAAATATTCAATGGTATAGTAGCCTATCCAACTTCAGCAGCAGCATTAAGGAGCCCTTGACCTCCTTAAAATCTTATTCACTGAAAGACGAAGCAATAAGCTTCTCATGTCAGCCACTTCAGCTGTTAAGCTGTTATAAGAAAAAGACAAAACTAGACACTTCCCACCTTTACCACGACTCTACCATAACTTACATATGCCTTAAGAAAAACTTGTGAAATTTCAACCACATATTGCACCCTGGGAAAATCAATTGCTGTGCCCACTTCAAAAAATACATATATACTTCCACCATTATCCATTGGCTGCAACTCAGTCAGTACTAAAATGGCTATAAACACATAGGCCACTAGGTGTAAGGGTACTTTTGTCAGTGTACCTTGTATTATGTTTCATCCTAAATACATAAGAGAGTGGGGCACCAACCACTCTGATTTTTGGCTCTTAAGAAAAATACAAGGGGCTTTTCATGCCCAGGCACAAGGCACACTAGGCACACACCTTTTCAAAGGGGCCGTGCTTGAGCCTAGGCAAGGCATATGCCTTGAAATGCACGTCATCTGTGCAGCCAGGCATGCCTTATTTTTTAAAGGGGGCTAACCATAAATTTTATTAACAGTCCAAGAAATAAACCCGGGGGGGGGGGATGTAAAAGTCTTACCTCTCGAAGAAGCTATGCACCGAGGTTAGCCCTCAAAGCAGCTAGAGGGCATGCCTTTTAAATCACTTGTTGTCATGGTGCTGTACAGTCACTTCAGCTCTTTTTTTCAGCTTCTTTTGGAATTTGGTTAAGACAAGACTGAACTGCATCGGACTTGACCTATAAATGGTCCTAGGTCCAGTTCAGCAGTCTGCTGATTTCTCTGCCAGCGTTATCAATGTGGTGAGGGGCTTACTAGTTGTTTTGGCCTCTTTAGTCAATACAGTTACTAGTCACTAGTTGATGAAAAATATATGTTCTAAATTTAAAATATCAATATAATCGCATAAATAAGTTAACATAGTTGTGTTAGGCAGTCAAGAAACGACAATGTCCAGAAAATGAATGTGGTAGAAATGTGAATGCTAAGATGGTTTGGGCACATGCATAGAAGACTGCTAACTGCACCAGTTAGAAGAAGTGATTTGTTACACATTGAAGGGGCTAGAAGAGCTCGGGGTAGACCAAAAAGGACATGTGTAGAAGTAGTAAGAAATGAGTTAAGCACTAATACTTCACAACCTTTGGGATAAGGACATGGATGATGATGATGAGACTGCAACCATGTAATAAAAGAATGATATTTAAATTTAGTTTGCTTTGTTTTCCAAACATAAAATGTTAAGCTGGATAAGCTAGGATAAGGTATTACAACCTTTGTTCTTTGAAGAGTCAACCTTAACCATTCTTTGTGCCTTTTGTTTGTGGAAACTCTGTACCAGCAGGCAACTGATTGAAAGAAAAGTAGAAAACTTAAAAGAACTCCTTTACTACCTTCTTTTATTTTATTTTATTTTATTTTATGTCTTTTTTCTATTTTATATATTTATATATTGGTAGCCAGAGTTCTAAATTGATACCACAAAGTCACCTTCTCACATCCCTTTTGTTTATTTGCATAACTTAATCTCTAAGTAGACTCTATAATATGTTGTGGAAGGAGATTATCTTGGTACTCAACATAACCCAACCCTCTTTACAGAGGAAGAGGGTTGATCTCCTAGAATTAAGAACACAAGATGTTTAACATCACTCTAGCTACTTGAAGTCTTGAAGCAATGCAAGTATGCAACTGGGAGATAAATAAACAGATCAAAAGTTTTAACATGTTTGAATTTTTAAGTGCTTGAAGCACTTTAGTGCAATCCACATATTTTGCTTTTACTTGTGCATTTTTACTTTGGATATATTTTATGTCTCATGTGTATATATTTTAATTTGAACCATGGGCTTCTTAAAATATTTAATTTCTTTAATATTAAAGTTTTTATTTTTCTATTTTTTATTTTTTGATAAAAAATTTGCACCTCACTTCGAAAAGGAGTGCACCTCACCTTGTTCCTTGAGTGCTAAACGGTTGTTGTGCTTTTCTTGTGTGTTGCCCTTTTAAAATATTGACCTGGATCAATCACAACGGATGTATCTTAAATTTGTGCTCACAGCTCACATGGTTTGAGGAGTCTCAAGGCTTCATATTATCTAGCAAAGAGCCAAAGGGCAAAACTATGGCTGTAGGAGAGATACAAAACATAGAAGATATGGCATTGATGCTTGGCTGTAAGTTGGTGCACGTCCCTCAACCTATCTAGGGCTACCATTGACTGATATATGTATATCTAAGACAATTTGGAAACCAATCATAGAGTGTTCTGAAAGGATGCTAACATCATGGAAGATTATGTATCTTTCAAGGATGGTAAACTGTATTAATCAAAAGTGCTCTAGCTAACTTACCTAATATTTTCTCTTTTTTTTTTTTCTATCAATAACAGAATTTCATTAGAATTATGATAAAACAATTACAGGAATAGGAGAGGTAAACTTTCTCAACTCTCCAAAGTAGAATTTTGCTATTACAATTGAGCCCAAAACAAATGATTTCTTCTCACTCCTTGCTTAGCTAATACATCAGCAAAACCATTCGCGGTTCTTTTAACCCAACTGAATTTCACATCCATATCTTGTTTCAACCACTTAAATCTTTTCTTTTCGTTATTAAAAACCCAAAATCCTTTTTCTTCTTTTTGCAGCCACTCCACTACCAGCTTTGAATTGCCTTCTATATAATCAGCTTCCTTAGATTCATGTTGCCTTTGGCGGTCCCTCCATGACAGCCATAACCTCAGCCCTTAAAGAATCACCTACTCCAATTGGGTGGGCCTTACCTAATATTTTCTTTCCCTATTCCGTATTCTATTTGCAGTGGTAGAAAGATTGGAAAAACTCCAAAAGGATTTCCTATGGCATCACTGGAGGGATGAGTGAGTTCAACTTAATCAATTGGGATAAAATTTCTATACCTAAACAGAAAAGTGGCCTGGGTTTGAAAAGATTTTAGCAAGTTAATATTTGCACCACTAGAAAAATGTTGGTAGAGGTTTGGCTAAAAATCAAGTGGCATATGGAGATGAACTGTGACTGCTAAATTTGGATACCAAACTGTTGTAATGTACAGCGGCCTGTGGCCTTGTAGCAGCATTTCTGCCCTTTCCTCTTGTATTTCTTATGAGCTGTGGCCCTAAGTATAAATACTAACTTAGGCGCCGCCAGCTTTAGATTAATAGAATAGATTCTTCTCTTTTCTCTCTTCTCTCTTCCCTCTTCTCTGTCGAACTACATGGTATCAGAGCATCTCTGATCTGGGCGCAAGCTTCTCTTCTCAGATCGTGGTTTCTTTCCTTTTCTGGAAATCTG